GCAGACTGATAAAGCACCCCTGGGGGAAACCTCCAGGGCTGCTGGCGCTTGTGGTATTGTGGTTTAACCCGGCTGGCAACTTGGCACCACGCAGCCGCTTGCTCACTCCCCCCCAGCTCCTCAGTGGGATGGGGGAGAGAATTGGGAAAAGAAAGTAAGACCCGTGGGTTGAGATAGAGACAGTTTAATAAGAAGAATAACAATAGTAATAATAGTAATGGTAAGGGAATATACAGAATACATCAAACAAATGATGTGCAAGGCAATTGCTCACCACCCGCCGACCGATGCCCAGCGCCGAGCAGGAGAAGCTCAAAAAGTCCTTGAGTAGTCTGAGCACTGCTTGGCAACAACTAAACCATCAGTGAGTTATCAACATCCTTCTGGTACTAAATCCAAAACACAGCACTGTGCTGGCTACTAGGAAGAAAATTAACTCTATGCCAGCTGAAAGCAGGACAAGTATAAAACCTGGTTTTGTAACACGGGATTTTTGTGTTTGTTTTTTTTTTTTTAAATTATTATTTTTTCCCCTTCCTGCCGGTGGAGAGAACAAAACACGATGTAGCCTAGGGTGGACTTCTCGAGCTGCCTTTCCCTGAAGCTGCCGGCTCGGGGGCTGCCAGCCTTGCCTGTCCGGTCGCTCATGCCTGCTTGTCCTGTGCTTTCTTTCAGACCATTTCAATTGTCTACATAGTGACAGCCATTGTGGGAGTTGAGGCCTGGTATGCACCTTTCCTGTTTAATTTCTTATATAGAGACCTATTCACTGCAATGATTATTGGTAAGAAACTCCATGTTGAAGCCTGTCTTTTAAACTCCACCTTTTTAACGAAACCCAATGTCTTAATTCTGTGATAACGCTGTTCTGTTTGCTGCAATGGGAGCTCCTGGAGGCTGTTCCTGACACGGCGGAGGGAGGGTGTTCTTGCAGCCTGCCCTTATTATATATAATTATAATGATAATAAGGATAATAATAATTATTATATTAGATATTATGCATCTCGCGGTGGCCTTGTCTTCTGCGCAGTTACTTGGGCGACGTTAACTCCCGTCTGCCTGGGTCTGTGTTGACCAAAAGAGCGAGGCAGCGGAGAGCTGCGCTCACGCCTCGGGTATATTTTTGTGCCAGTCCTGAGGGTTTAGGTGCATGCTGCTGCTCGGAGGATCAGCCCTGGTGCTGCCTACCCGGGGTGAAGGATTTGGGGGGATGGATGCGACATGGTTCCTGGCCTGGAGCAGCAGATGAGCGTGGTTGAGGGGGTCTGTGTTGACCAAAAGAGCGAGGCAGCGGAGAGCTGCGCTCACGCCTCGGGTATATTTTTGTGCCAGTCCTGAGGGTTTAGGTGCATGCTGCTGCTCGGAGGATCAGCCCTGGTGCTGCCTACCCGGGGTGAAGGATTTGGGGGGATGGATGCGACATGGTTCCTGGCCTGGAGCAGCAGATGAGCGTGGTTGAGGGCTGTGGCTGCTGCTCGTGGCTGGGTGTGCTGGCCCCTGGAAAGCACTCTGGCTGTTCTGAGGTCCTGCCCTCCAACCACTCGTCTCAAAATTAAATAAAATAAAAAATAAATAAATAAATGCAAGCCCAGCCTTTCTCTCCAGTGGTCAGAACAAGCCCCACTGCAAAGGGGAGAGTGGTGTGGGTGAAGCCTGGCAGGGCAAAGCTGCCTTTGCTTAATGAAATTTGTCTTATTTGGAAATTCTTAGTTTAATTTTTCTCAGTCTGTGTCCCTCTTCTTTAGGGGTTAATTGTAGCTTCCTAATTTCAAGTCGCTGTGTCTTGAATTGTGTTAAACCGAATGCTTGCGCTTTTCTTAAGAAATCAGGTGGATATCCCCAGCTTTCCTTTGGCAGCCACGTAACTTAACATATGAACGATAAATGCAGTTTTCCTATATGAAAAGCAGAGCACAGTGCCTACATTGGCTGGGGTTGTGCACTTCTGGGGTATTAAAAGCAGGAAATGTTTCTTCTCTCTTGACATACCCACTGCTAGAGAAACATGGAGGGAGTTGTGATAGACCCCACAGGTTTGGGGGCAGCGGACGATGTTCCCTGCCGAGGTCTGGAATTTCAGAGTTATTTAGGCTTTTGTATCATTTGTCAAGTTAAACGACAACAACTTTTCAGCGCAGTGGGAGCTGAAAATGCTGGCTCACAGTGAGAGAAACAGCAAATTGGCTTTATTGTGAAGACCGAAAGCTCTGCTGTGTGCAGCCACGTCACTTGTGGAGTTTGAACTCGCCTCGTGTCTCGTTAAAGAGAGCATTACGGTTAAACTTCGTCCCTGTTTAAAGCGTAATACTGCCCTCGTTAATGCCGCTTTTAAAAATCAAAACGTCTTTCATTTAGAGCAGACCTCAACTTGTAATTACAGCTCTTGGACCAGAATTACGAGCACCTACTTTTAAACGTGCCGCGCTATTCCTGGTGCACCTCTGAACGGTGTTTGTCGCGAGCAGCTTAAACCAGAGCACAACCACCCTGCCCGTCCGCGGGGTGCACGTGACGGTCTCCATCTAATGTGGGGCAGTAACCTGGCTCTTTCTCTTCCAGCTTGTGCGCTCACTGTGACGCTGCCCATGAGCCTGTATAACTTCTACAAGTAAGTTTCTCCATCCCCAGGTCTCCCTCTCTGCTCTAGCGCCTTTGCAAGAGCCCCCAAAGCCTCTTAAACATGGTTTCCTCGGCAGTTTTCAGATGACTGTCTTTAGTTGGGGAGATGTGGCTCTGACACACCAGGAGGTCCCAGTTTGCAGGGTGCACTGGGAGGAGTGATCTTGCAGAAAGGCCCCCAGCTTCTGTGGGCTTGTCCTGTTGGTCACGACCCAGACAACCAGGTGCCCCTGTAATTCGGGAGGCTTTCGACTTAACCATGAAGGTGTTTCTCACCTTCCTCGTCTGACTGTGGGCTGACTGAGACCAGCTCAGAATGGCCAGTGAGATTTTGCAGCCCTCTCTTGAAGGCAGGGGCCAGGTATTTCTCAGCTGGGGTTCCATGTATTTTCATTTCTTTCCTTGTCTTTCAGGGCCTATAAAAATAACACCTTGAAGCACCACTCTGTGTATGAAATCATGCTGCCGCTGGTATCCCCAGTGTTGCTGTTCCTGCTCTGCACCACGTGGATCTTCATGTCCCCAACAGACATCCTGGAGGTCCATCCCAGGCTCTTCTATTTCATGGTTGGAACAGCCTTCGCTAACATTTCTGTGAGTGGCTTTTGCTTTATGCTCCTGCTTATTCCCCGGAGAGCGTGAAGCCTGCCAGGATGCTTGGGAGGCAGGAAGAAAAGGACCAGCTCAAATGTGAGGGGAGAAGGGAGATCATGGAATGGAATCCCAGAATGGTTTGGGTTGGCAAAGCCCTTGAAGCTCCCCCAGCCCAACCGTTCCCCTACCCCCGCCATCCCACCCCCAAACCCTGGCCCTCAGCACCGCCTATGCCCGGCTGTTAAATCCCCCCAGGGCTGGGGACTCGACCCCTTCCCTGGGCAGCCCCTTCCAGTGCCTGACAGCCCCAAGGGGAAGGAATTGTTCCCCATGGCCAACCTCACCCTGCCCTGGCACAACTTGAGGCCGTTGCCCCTCGTCCTATGCAGAGATAGGGATAGATGCAGAGATTAACTTAACAGCTTTTCTCTTTTGCTATGATTGAAAGAACAAACAGGAGAGTAGAGAGGGTTTGGGGCCTGCGAATTTTGTGCTGCAGCTCTCCCTCTTGAGAAACTAGAGAATTAGTTAAATCGAGTGTGTTTACACACACGTGCATCCTCTGTGTTGTGAATAGCAAACTGCTAATACAAATGGAGTTCCTGCCTCCTTTTTTGGGATAAACTTAAAATGGGGGGGACTAAAGCTTTTGTCCAAATCTGATTTAGCTGCACATTGCATCTTGCTTGGGACCTTGGCAACGGCGCCTTGTGCTCGTCACCTCAGACACGTGGCTGAGCACCTCTGTGTGTCCGTGCCCTGCGTCCAGCAGCTTGGCAGGGTGTTCTGATCCTGCAGATAAACGCTGGCAAGGCTCGCTCAGCTCAAGGGAACTCCTTTTTCTTTTAAAGATGCCCTTGATGCCTGTTTCCCTATTACCTTCCTGCCCCACGAGGCTTTGCTCTGTGTGTCCCACAGGAATTCTAATGCAAAGGAAGATCCTGAGTGAGAAACTCGGGGCAAACTGCCTGATGGTAGCTGTAAGCGCAGACGGTCGGTACGCGTGTGACCGTCCTCTCTGCACTGTGGACAGCTCTGGGCTTGCAGAGTCGATACTGGGCGCGAGCTCTGACAGCTTTCCCTTCCTGCAGTGCCAGCTGATCGTCTGTCAGATGAGCAGCACACGCTGCCAGCCTCTGAACTGGATGCTGCTCCCCATAGCGGCGGTGCTCTTCGTTGTGATGTCCGGGTTCGTGCCGAACAGCGAAACGCTTCTCCTCTACTTGTTGACTGCTTTCCTCACCCTGGCGCACATCCACTACGGAGTGGTCGTGGTAGGTGAACTCAGCGCGTGGGCTTCGGGCTTGGCTGCCGTGCTCCGACTGCAGGCTTTGCTTGCTTGGGTGCTGCTGCTGCTCGGGGCAGAGAATACTCCGCTTAAAAACGGGAATGTCAGCGGGAACGGCTCTGTGTGTCGCGCTGTCTAGGACCGTATCAAACCTGAGCTGACTTCTTGCAAAAGGCTTGTGCGGGCTGTCTGTGGTGGTTTGACCCCCCGCTACCAAGACCTTGCCACACAAACCCAACACGCTGTTGCGTGGGTTTGACGCAAGCTTTGCAAAACGTGACGGGGGGCTCTTGTACCAGAGATCACTTTGAAACAAATGCTCACATCTCCGCTGCCGCGTTTAACTCCTCCTGGCTGCGGCTGCAGCTTGAGAGAGCAGCTTGGACGTAAGCCAGCATGGGTGACCCACAGCCCTGGGGAAAGGGGGGGCTCCAGTGGATAGCCAGAGCAGCAGACAGTGTGCCTGCATGCCGGGCAGCCGTGCTTAATTTGGGAGTCTTAACATAAAAAGTTAAACTGCTGTCGGTGTTATTCCGGCTGATGAGTTCGATCTGTGACCTTGCTGACGTGCCCTGCGCTGGAGTCGGTGGGAGGGCCAGGACAGAGGGGGGGTTGTCCCCGCTAGGGAGCGTGGGGACACTGCAACTGCTCTACCTTCTCCCCAGCTGCAAGGGCTGTGTAGAGATCCAGGGACCAATTTGCTCCCCTTGCTCTGTGCCAGCTCCACCTGACGCCCTGGGTTTTGATTAAGATTGCGAAAGCAAACTCAGAGGAGACCGAGTCCCATTAGAAATGCCCCAGGAAGGTGCTGAGGAACTGGGGCAAGGGACCCCGTGTCCCCCATGGAGCTGGCTGCTGCCACATCCGTACACCCTCCTTGGGAAGCCCTGTCCCCTGGGAACCCCAGCTCTTAATGTGGAGCCTCCAGAGTTTGAACTGTAATTACAGCAGAGAAGTAATAGCCAGGTTGTCTTGTCTTTCCAATTAGTGTAATGAGGCTTCTATGCAAGCAGGATTTGAATAGCTAAGAAGCTTAAATAATTTTGGTCTTGGAATCGTAGCTGGAGATGGGGGACTGACCAGATGGTGTAATCCTCCTCTCTGCCCAGGCTTGCCCATCCCCGGCAGCGAGCTTCTCGGTGCTCTGCTCCCCTGACGTTGTGTTCCCCTGGTTTCCCCCCACCTCCAGCTTTCCAAGGGCCCATCTGCGCAGTCTTCTCTTGCAGGATAACAGAGCCTTTACTGAGCTGAAGAGCCCTTTAAGGCGCTCTGACTGGGACATAATCCCAAACTGCTCTGCATTTGGAACTGGGAATAAACCCTCTGCCCAGCTCGGCCTCCGGTGCTGCTCAGCCCTGCTCCGTGTGGCTCTGCAATGGCTGCTACCTTGCCGTCGCCAGGCGCCGGTGCCACGCCATCGTTTCACCCTCCTGTCTGCAGCTCTCTGAACCCTGCCCGAAAGCTCGTTTTGTGGTGCAGCGCTCGCCCCTCTGTGGTTTTCTCATGTCCCCGAAAGAGGCGGTGGAGGCTTCTTCTGAAGGCTGGTGTAAAAGGTGCCTGGTTATCCAAAACCTGGCGTCGGGCTCCCCTCCTCTCTGTAACCCTCCTGTGTGTGTCTCGCTGGTCAGTGCAAAGTACTCGACCCCCAGCTGGCGTTGCAAATAGATTCAGGGAGCAATTTTTTCACATAGGTATCTGCGATCATCAAACGAATTTAAGCAAAATAATAAAAATATTGCTGGGAGAGGCAGGGAGGGGGAGCCGTGCCGCAGGGTGAAGTCCTGCATGGCTGGGCTCAGGGCAGGCGTTTCTGACTCGGCCCCTGAGGATGGCAGGGTGGAGGGGAGCCCTCTCCCAGATAGAGCGAGGAAGGTGTGGGAAGGGAGGAAGGCTGCACCTCGCAGGGCCACGTGCCTCGGGCTGGCAGGGACGGGGCTTGGCTCTGGGGCAGGGCAGCACAAGGCAGGGGCTGTGGTCCTGACATGGGGAGCGTGTAGGGTGAGGAGGGTGGTGTGGGAAGGTGGCAGGGGCTTTGTCGGCCGTACAGGGGTCTGGCGCTCTGCTGGCTTTCCTCCCCGTCCCTCCGAGCCTCGCTAACCCAGCGCTGTTGTCTGCCTTGTCCCCAGGTGAGCCAGCTGAGCCGGCACTTCAATATACGGCCCTTCTCGCTAAAGAAGCCCACTCCGGATTGACTAGGAGTGGAGGAAGAGAAAATCAGCTTGCGGTCTGCAGAAGTACTGTAAATAACTGCTGCAAATACCTGTAAATAGTTCAACCATCACCACAGATCTAAACCTATCCTCTGGACAGACATCAGGGCAAAGTACGCACGGTATCCGGTGCAGCCAGGGCAGGACTGGTACGGGGCAGCCCCCGCTGCTGTTCGGCAAAGGCGAGCGTTCGGTTTTGGGTGAAACTGGACGAGGAGGGTAGCCTTTCAGGTCACTGCTACTGTACGTTAGACCAGCTGAATGTTCCCAGTGAAACCTCAGACTCCAGCTCGTGCTCAGGTCAAGCCAGTTGGGGATGCAAATGGCTTTACCTGAGCAAAGCATCCCGACCTGTCACCAAAACCAACACAACAGCTGATTTCTGCAGGGTCAGGGGCACGTCCCGGTGGTTGGGGGCGTTCCTGTCTATCCCTGATCCTGCCCGACAGCCCTTGTCCCGGGAGCAGATGGTGACAGTTCTCCCACATCCTGTCCTGCCTCCATTCATTCACCTATTTGGGGAAACTACTTGCACCTTCTTTTTTTTTTTTTTTTTTTTTTTTTTTAAGAGGAGGAAAAGAACAACACGCAAAACTTTCAGTAATGTTCTGCTTGGGGGGGGGCTTGGAAAATCAGGACTCAATTTCTTGTAAAAGTGGGAAGGCGGCTTCTGCCTCCCCTGCTTGAGCTTTGGGTACCTGGGACCACGTCTCGACCGTGTTCTTGTCTGTCCATGTGCGTTCCCCGCCTGGGAGTGGGGTCTGGGCTCCGATGGGCAGTGGCTCACAGCAGCCTAACGCAGAGCCAAACTCCCCCCTTCTTCCTCCCGGTATGAGCTGGCTGTTGCGGGC